CGTCAGGCCCGGTTTCGATAGGCCGTCCTAGGGCTTGCTTACTGGACTCGGCTAAGTGCTCTGGGGTGTAAACCCTCCCTGTTCTGGTCATTCCTTGCGCAGCAGTTGTTTCTCCTGTCTTGGTCTTTCCTTTCCTCCTAGCTTTAGTAGTGTAATCCCATGGTATGGCATTTGAGTGGAACGGTGTTATGTCTGTCATTGCCACAGGAATAGGCACCCTTAGTGGTAACACAGCAACTTCAAAGGGTGCAGGTGCTTTTGAAACTCCAAATTCAACCTCAATTGGCCCGAGCGCCTTTGCAGAAGGAGGCGCTTCAAATTCGAGAGGTATAGACATGTTTACTTCATCGTCCCTGGAGGGCTAATTCTGCACAACAATTGGGTTAAGTGTAACTGGCGGTTTCTTTGGTTCATCCTCCTCAGCAATCAAACTTATCGACCCTTTGGGGTCCCAATCATCTTCGGCTCGATCATGTGAATGTCTCCACCTTTGTGGTCAGGCAGAGGGTTGTTACGAACATTAGGAGCAGGCTCCTTTGCTACTATGACCTTATTGTCGATTAGGGTTTGAATCTTGTCCTTCAATGAGCGGCACTCGTCAAGGGTGTGCCCCTTCATGCCGGAATGATACGCATAGGTCTTATTGGGGTTGACCCACTAGGAGGGATTTTCTGGAGTTTTGGCTGGGATAGGAGTGATGTAACCAGTAGCTTTAAGTCTCTCGTATAGCTGTTCAATTGGTTCAGCGATGGCTGTGTATTATCTGGGAGGTTTGCGGTCAAAATTTAGCCTGGGTCTAGGGAAATTTTGACGGGTGGGAGGTGATTGGTAGTGAGAGGGTTGAGCGTTATAAGCTTGATAAACAGGTGCTGGTTGAGAGTATCTGGGTGAAGTGGGTTGGTATGTGATAGGTGGAGAGGATTGGTAAACGGGAGGTGGATAGGAGGGTGCGGGTGCTTGGTAATTCGGGATGGGCTGATATGTAAGTGGAGGTGATGGGTAAGTGTGGTATTTTGGTGGTGATTTGGCTCCCTGTGCGACCATTACGGCACTTACATCCTTCTTTTTGGACGTGCCACCAGTCTGTAGAGCCTTATTGGTGGCCTGCAATGCTTCAAGATTCGTAACCATACCATTCTTAATGCCCTCTTCGATTCTTTCTCCAAGTTTGATGATATCGGAGAACTTTTGACCCTCGATCAGCATCAACCTCTCGTAATATTGGGGATCCTGAGCCCGGACGAAGAATCTATTCATTTGTTCTTCTTCTAGGGCCGGCCTGACCTTTGCAGCTTCTGACCTCCAACGAGTAGCATACTCGCGGAATGTTTCGGTGGGCTTCTTCTTCAAATTCTGTATGTAGAATACATCCGGTGCGTTCTCTGTATTGAATCGGAATCTATCCATGAAGTCCGATGCCATGCCTACCCAGCTCGTCCATTTCTTGGGGTCTTGGCTGATGTACCAAGATAAAGCTTCTCCCTTCAGGCTTCTCATGAAGAGCTTCATACGGATCTTTTCATGCCTTCAAACTCCAACCAACTTATCGCAATATGTCCTCAGGTGGACTCTGGGATCTCCTATTCCATCAAACATTTCGAACTTGGGAGGTTTGTACCCCTCCGGAAGTTCAACATCTGGCTGAATGCATAGGTCTTCATAATTTAACCCTTCAATACCTTTTTTGCCTTCTACGCCCTGAACTCGGCTGGTTAATTTCTTAAGATCTGTCGCCAAGTTCCTGATAAGGGAGTCTTTGTCATCAGACTCAGGTGTATTTGAGATTGGTTGGGTGTAGTGGGGTACAATATCCACAAAAATAGGAGTGTTGTGGAGATGGTCATTTGTGGTGTTCAGTGGCTCGG